TAGAAAGATTATTATTTATTTATAATTATTATAAAAAATAAAAAAAGACTTTTAAAGATTATTATAAATTAAATTATTTTTTTAGCGATTTAACGTTATATAACGCTTATATAATTTAATTTTTATATTAATAATATTATATAATTTATATATATCTTTAAAAAATAAAATAAATAAATTTATTTCGATATATATTTTAACTAATTTCTTTAAATTCTAATATTTTAAATAATTATAATAAGCGTATTATATATATAAGATTTTTTTATTAATTTAAGAATCTAGAATATTAGCGAATAAGAATAAGAATTTAGATTTAGATATAGATATAGATATAGTAAACTTATTATAGATAGAGATATCTTTATTAATAACTACTAAGTATATAAGAGTCTTTATTTATATATTTAGCGTATAAAAATAATTACGCTAATATCTAAAAATAATATTATACTTCTTTACTTTAATATTCTTAAATATAAACTAAAGCGAATAATTTTAATCTTTAAATTACTCTTAAGAAATTAGATTAAAATTACTATTAGAAATATATTAGATATCTTTTATATATAAAGTTTATTTATTTTTAAGACTTTTATATTTAAGCTTAATATATTTAAAGTTAATAGCTATAATTAAGCTATTAACTTTATTAATTAAATAATATAATTTAAATAAAATAAAGATTTAAAAGATTAAGAAGTTATAAGTAATATATTAAGTATAAATATTATTAATAAATTATAAATATAATAATATAATAATTATAAATATCGAAGAAGTTTAAGCTATAGTCTTTAAACCCTTTTTAATAAAGAAATAATAGACTTAATTCTATAAGAATTAAGAATTAATAATAAGATATATAATATTCTTTAAATTAAAATTAATATATATTATAAAACTATATATTATTGCTAATTAAATATATATAATAATCTTAATATTATTAAATTAGTAATTAATAATAAACTTATTATTTTAAATATTTTTATCTTTATTATTCGAGTTAGAGAAATTATTATTATTATTATTTTTATCGCTATAATTATTATAATTATTATAATCTTTATAATTATTATAATCTCCTCTATTATTATTACTATTTTATTTCTTAAATTTAAAATATAAAATAATATATTTGATATTATTATATTAATTCTTTTTATAATAATTATAATATTTATAAGTCTAAATATAAATATAAGAGTTATTAATATAGATTTTTTATTAAATTTTATATTTAATAACTTCGTTAATAATAATTAATATAATAACGCTTTATAAATTATATATAAAGAATTTATTAATTAGCGTAATTAGTATATAAACTTTAATATTAATTAAATTAATAAAATTAATTATAATATTAATAAATCGAGTAATTATATAATTTAGATCGAACTTTATAATATTATTATTTTTAAAAATATTATAATTTTAATTATATTATTTATAATATAAATTATATAAAAAATCTAAGTCTAAATAAAAGCGATAAATCTTTTAATTCTTATTAAACTTTAGCTTTAAGAATAAGTTATTAAACTTATTTAGAATCTTTATAAATCTATTAATATAGAATTAAAAGTTATTATTATATCTTATAAGAGTAATATTATTTATCTTTCTAAATATAAAATTAAGAATATTTAAGTCTTAAGATTTAAACTTATTTAAAGTCTTTTAAACTTCTTTAATATTAATCTTATTTTTAATTTTAAAATATAAATTCTTTTTATAACGCGATTTTAATATAATATAGATTTAATCTTATATCTATAATTAGCTATTAATCTAGACTTTAATAATAATAATATTAATAATTAATTTTATATAATCTTTTTTAATATAGCGCTATAATCTAAGTAGCTTTAATTTATTCTTAAATTATTACTTTTAAATTTAATAGTTAAAAATATTTTTAAATTTATTAATATTATCGAGATAATTTAAAAAGATTAAGATTTTAAATTTCTTAAAAGATATAATACTTAGAGACTTAATAAGCTCTCTTTATTAGAGAATAAGCTAAATAAACTAAATAAGCTCGCTCTATTAAAGTCTAAATTTAAGAATAAAGTTTATATATTAATAAGACTTAAAGAAATAATTAAGATAGACGATATCGACGAAATTAAGCGCGTTTAAAAATTAAAGAGATCTTTATTAAAGATTAACTCTAATAGAGATTTAGAGATTAATTATTTTAATATTAAATTAAAATTAATAAGAAAGCTTAATATATACTTACTCTCGCTATTAAAATATTTCTTATAATATATTAGAGATTTAAGCGTATAAGAAAAATCTTATTAAGCTTTAAAATTAGCTCGATATAGCTTAAATCTTTATTTATAAAGATTTATTATCTATTAATACTCGAAATAGCGAATAATATTCTATCGAGAAGTTAAATAATTAATAAATAATAAAGATATTAAAATAATTTAAGAATATTATAATAATAAAGATCTATCTCTTATACGTAGATATAATACTATATTATTAAAATTATATTAATTATCTTAATAACTAAAAGCTCTATTTATCTTCTCTAAAATTAACTTAATTAAAGTTTAAAATTAAAATTAATTATAAGGTTATTTACTTACTATCGAGATATTTTACCTCTAAAATAAATACTTATATTAAGGCTTCTTTACGACGATAGAGATTTCTTTTCCCTTTCGCTTTCGAGATTAAAGTTCTTATTCTTTTAATTAATATATCTTTATTAATAATAATTAAAAACTACGTAATTAACGCCGAAGCTAAAATTATTTTCTCTTAAATTATATTTCTTCTAGCGATAGCTAAAATAACTAATTTTTAGCCTTTATTATAAATATTTTATAATTAAATAAATACGAAGTCTAAATACTCGCTATCTAATTCTTTAATATTTATAATATATAAATAAAGGCGTATTATTTCTTTATTTAGCGTATTTTATATAGAGAAAGCTAGTAATATTTTAAAGATCTTAATAATAATATAATTTAATTAATTATATAGCGGCTTCGATAATCTCGGCTAGATATAATATATCTTAACTCGCTTTATATTATTTTAGTTAGAAAGTAAAAGCGTTTAAGCGATAGCCTTTAACTCTTAAATTATAAGCGAATTATAACTATTTAAACTTAGAATAACTATTTTAAAATAGAAATTTCTTATATTAAGAAGATTAATAAAGTCTTCTATAATTATAATTATCTTTATTATAATAGATATAAATATTTAAAATTAATTTTTATTTTTTTAATTTTTATTTTTTTATAAATTTTTTTTTTTTTTTTTTTTTATTTTTTATATTTAAAAATATAAAAAAAATAATTTTTTTTTTTTATTTTTTTATTAATATAAAAAAAAAAAATACTTAATTTAATTTAAAAAGGTTTTTTTTTTTTATTTAATTATTCCATATTTTCCACAAAATTATTAAATTTTTTTTTTTCAATTTTTTTTTTTTTTTTTTTTTTTTTTTTTTTTAATATTTTTTTTTTTTATTTTTTTTTTTTTTATTTTTTAAAATATATTAAATAATTATTTATTTTAAATTAAATAATTTTTTAAAATAAAAAATTTTTTTTTTTTATTTTTTTTTTTTTTTTTTTTTTTTTTTTATTTAATATATATTTTATTTTTTTTTTTAATTTTTTTTTTTTTTTTTTTATTTTATTTTTTTTTTTTTTTTTTTATTTTTTTAAATTAATTTAATATAAATTAATTTTTATTTATAAATAAACCATTATTACCCTTTTTAAATGTGTTAATTTTTTAAATTATTTTTTAAAATTTTAAAAATTTTTAATTAAAAAACTATTTAAAAAATTTTAAAATTTTATTTTTAAAATTATTTTTTAATTTTATAAAAAAATAATAATATTTTTTTTTATATTAATAATAAAATAAATTTATTTTTATTTATTATATTAATAATTTTTTTTATATATTTATTTTTTTTATTTATTATTATTATTTATTATTTTTTTATAAAAAAAAAATTATATTTTATTTAATATTATTTTTTTTTTTAAGTATAATATAATAAAAATGAAGTTTAAAAATTTTTTTTTAATATTTTTAATATTTAATTTTTATTTAATAAATATTTTTTTTTTTTTTTTTAAAAATTATTTTTTATTAAAATATTTTTTTTTTTTAAAAAATATTTTTTTAATATTTTTTTTTTATAAATAATTTTTATCTTAAAATATTTTGTTTTAAAATTTTTCCCGGGGGTCTTATTAAAAAAAGGGTTTTTTAATATTTTTTTCTTAAAAATGGGTTCCAAATCTTTTTTTCGGGTTTTAGCTTTTGAAATATTTCTACACTCTTTTAATTTCTAACTTTAGATTCAAGCGATAGAGCCAGCGGGGTGATATTCTCGACGTAGTAAGGGGGGTTGATGGGGTGTGGTAAGGAGAGGTGTGATGGGACGGGGTGTGATGAAATGGGGTGTGGATGGGATAGGGTAGGAGTATTACGTCAAAGTGTAAAATACGGCTTAGTCATTAGTGATAGGACTGAGAAGATCTCCTGATTTAGGGATATCCTGAGCGAAAATTCTTCTAATTTTTAAAAATACTCCTAGGATCTCTGTAAAATACGATATTATTTTATACTATAGCTATTTATACCCTAAGCCTTATTAATGCGAGTCGAAATATTCCCCGCCTACAATTTTGCTAAGACTCTCCAGGTATGATTAGTAAAACCCCCCTGCCGACCTTAAAGTATTAAAAAGGATAAAATGTAAATACGGTGATATAGAAGAATAATTATTCTATCTCTAAAATCTTCTAGGGGATATCTTTAACCCTATAGAAATAGAGTGATATAGCCGACATACGCACAGGTTATAGCGGAGAGTGGCTGGGAACATGGCTGGGAACTCTGAACATGGCTGGGAACTCCACATTTCGACACATAAACCTCCCTAATGGCGAAGCGATTCTCGCACTCTCTAGCCCTTCAGGAGGCATTAACAAAGAATGTCAAGTATAATAGCTGAGGCTACGGCCGATATGCTGACGACATATCACGAGCTCAACGGCGACATAGATGTCTTGTATGAAGAGCCTAGTCCTCTCGAATTCATGAGATACGTGGCCAAAAATCGACCATTAGTTGTGCGCCGAGGCTGTTCGAAATGGCTTGCTGTGCGTACATGGAATGCTCATTACCTTCAGGATATTATGAAAGACATTCCTGTTGGAGTAGCCATCACACCTCACGGGTCAGTACGAGGCCATTCTAGACAATCGAATGGACACTAAAAGTCGATAAAGTAATGCGGACTCGGTCCAGAAAAGGCCCGAGGACGGCTCGACATACTTCGTAAAGCCTTTTGAATTGGTATTTACATTTTCGAAGAAACTTGTTCCTGTTTTAGAATAAGTCTTGGATTTCACAGCGTGCTCTGGGAGCGAAAGACCCCTTCAGATTGTCTCATTGCTTGAACTCTTGCTTTGAAGGAAAATCCTGATTCCGAGATTGCCGTAGGACGAACCGTTTTCTACCTTTCTCAGCTACTTACAAAGTTCAAACGCTCAGACGACGGTCGAGTTGGTCAAGTATTCGCAAGCCCGTATGGCCATGTCTTCAATCTAAGGCTACGGCCACTGACTTATTTCTCTTAGAAAATGACAATCTTCGCGGCGAATACTCACATCTGTACCGTGATGTAGAAGCAGACATTCGCTGGGCGTCAATAGCCCTACAAAAGGAGCCCGACGCGATCAATCTGTGGATAGGTAACAAGCATAGCACCACAGCTTTGCACAGAGACAATTATGAAAACATCTATTGTCAAATAGTTGGATCAAAAGATTTTGTGCTATTGGCCCCAGTGGAGACGGCTTGCATCAACGAGAAATTTATGCCATCTGCCGCCTATGCTGCAGACATGTCCCTCGATCCTGACGATCCTCCTGCTCAAGTGCCCTGTGCTGTATGGGATCCAGACAAGCCAGAAGAAAATGCAACCAGATTCTCATCTCTAAGCAAACCACTTCGCATAAGGCTTGATCCAGGCGATATGTTGTATCTCCCTGCATGCTGGTGAGATCTTCGTGCTTAGAATTGGCGAAATTTTGAGACTGATCAAGAAGAAAGGTATCATAAGGTCTCACAGGATAGCTCGGACGAGGGCATATGTTGCAGTGTCAATTATTGTAGGTCAAAGATTCGAGGCAAGATTGCTTCACTAGTGCTCACAGTTCCGCAGGGTACGATATGGACTTCGAAGGCACATTCTTTGCTTCGAATTCTTTTCTTCGACATATGGCTTGGGCTTCAACAGAGCTCAAAAAAGCACCATAAAGTGCACCAAGCCTTGTGTCAGACCACTATTATAGAACTGATCTCCCATCGCAGTAGCCAAGGCTAACGCTTTTTCTTCGCGAGTCTCTTCTCTGCCCTAACATCCTTTTTCAGTCGGGCGTCAACAATCTTGTACTTGCCTTTTACACCTCGTGGCCGTCCTGATATGCCCTTATTACCGCCTTTGGCAACAACAAGCTTCACCTGTTGTTGGGGCTTCTTTTTCGCAGCCTTATTCATCATCTTCGCAATATTCTGAGCTTTATCTTTCTCCGAAATACCCTCATCGTCTGCCACCAGGGCCGACTTTTTGCGCAGCTTCTCCAGTCTCTGGGCAGCCTTGAATTTCTTACGGTCTTTAGCCTCTCTGACTTTTTTGATTGGGCGAGCGTTAAGAGCTCGAAGCTTTTCTTTGATGGCTGCCGCACCTGCTGCGCTTATGGGACGATGCGGTTTACTGTGCTTACCCTCATCATCTAAGAACCATTCCGGAAGACCATCAGTGTCCCGGAAGGTGTATTTGTTGAACCCATCGTCCACCAAGTCCTGCGTGGACTTCTGTCCCGAGGCGACCTGTTGTGCCAAAGTCATGGCTTCTGCCGTTATGATGTCAATGTCGAGACGCCCGTCCTTTCGTGGCTCGCCTTCTGTTTCCCAATCAGTTTCTCCTGCTTTCACCACTTCGAAGCCGCCTTCCGTCTCATTTTCATCGTCTTTTCGTCTGGTCTCCGCTTCGTCTTCGCTCGCCTCGCTTTCCTCAGAGTCTTGCCCATCTGTCGCACCAGGAAGAGTTGCTTCTGCGGTTGGTAATTGGCTCAATCTCATGGATTCTTTCTCGATGGCGGGAGCCTTTACAGCCTGAGTGATGGGGCCGTCGTCCGTCTCGTCGTCCTCAAGATGAACGGCACTGTCATTCTCCTCTTCCGCACCAAGATTGCCAATATCTTTGAATATATCCTGCTCGAAAAACAAAGCGGCTCGACGTGTAAGACCAGCCTGTCCTTGGGCGAAGCCGTTCTGCGGGTAGATGAGCCTTTGAGAATCTTGACGTTCGTCTTCCTCTGCCGAAGATTCGTTACTGCTTTGGTCTCGTTCAAAGTCCTCGTCGCTGCTCTTTTCATGATCCGAAAAGCCTTCCCAATCGCGATCTTCGTGTTCTTTTCTTGCTTTCTTGACACGATACTTTGCGTCTGACTCGGACTTCCGTTCTTGATACTGGGAGTACAAGGCATCCAACTCTTCGTCTAATATATCCTCCTCTTCGTCGCTTTCAGCTTCGGAACCACTATCATTGTCCGAGGCCTGTTTAGCTTGGAGCTGGAGTGCCATCTTGCCACGTGCAACCTTCTCGATCGCTCCAGCCTTGTCCACAGCCGCTAGCGCAAACATCGAGTCCTCGCCATTCGGACCCCTTTGCTCCAGACCAATTTCCGTCGGCGTGGTCATGTGCATCTGCATGCGCACAATCTCTTTTTGCTTCCTTTCATTCTCCCGCCTCCTTTCTCTCTTCTTCCGTGAACCTTCGTTCTCCTTGAGCCTCTGCAGCTCCTCTTGAATTTGAAGCTCCTCATCCATGGGTTCGACCTCCGCGACTTCCTCACCTGCAAGGTCCTTGCCGGACTTCTTCGATGGAAAGCCAAATGTATCGCGAGCCTTTAGCCTCCACCTTAGTAGCATTCGAAACTCTTTGCGCCCAAGAACCTTCAGATCCATACAGGATTGCCTAATCTCATCTGTGGTTTCCGGCAGCTTGTCCAGTGCAGCAAGTGCGATGTCTCCAGTCTTCTGCTGCTCAAAGGTCAATTTATTCAGGGATCCAAGCATCGCAATGGGATCTGTCGATTGGATGAACTCGCTCGCAGGAGCTTCCTTGAACTGTGTATAATCTCCATCTTCATATCCCTCTCGCTTTCGCTTCTTCTTCTCCGGGTTGAATACTTTGGCTTCATTGTTTGGTGTCGGATCCGAGAGTTCCGCAAAGACAGACCGAGGATCGAGGAACTTTGAATCTATTCGTTTTGGCGCCTTGAAACCCCTACACACAACGAAGATTTCCGCGGATACAATCCTGGATGATGGAGGCTTCGTCGCCTCGACTTTCGTGAACAGTTGATTGAAAACCCAGAGCAAAGCATTGTAGTCTTTGGATCGGAAAACTTTTGTGACAAAAGTTCCACCCTCGATTAAGAACTCTGTGGCGAGCTTTAGAGCCTGTAAAGTCAACTCCGCTTGCGAGAATGCATCTTGGACCCATGCCGTGCCAACATTAGGGGCTCCATCGTGTAAGACGGTGTCCGCTTTCCAGGTCTTGAAATGCTGTCTGATTGTAGCTCGGCACTTGTCCGTAGTAATGTCACTCTGAAAGGTTATTGTCCTTGGTAATGGTTTGATGGGCGCGAGATCTACCCCCACTATCATGCTGTTCGCTGGCATGGTTTCTGCAGCGACTTGACACCAGGATCCGGGCGCTGCACAAAGATCCAGTAAGACCTTGCTCTTCTCAAGGAAGCCATACTTTCGATTGAGTTGTATGAGCTTGAACGCAGCTCTGGCTCTGTATCCTTTTTCTTTTGCGAGCTTGTACCATTTGTCAAGGCGGCCTTTGCCATGCTGTTAATTGTTAGAGAATGGATCCTCAATGAACGACCGACCTCACCTTTTTCTGAATCCCCATGGCGCTGAAGTTGGGTATTGCTGAGGAATTTGGATTGGTCTGGAGCAAAGGGGTCCGAATGGCGAGGACTCGATGTTTGCGCTAGCGGCTGTGGACAAGGCTAGAGGCTAGAGCGATCGAGAAGGTTACACGCGGTAAGATAGCACTCCAGCTCCAAGCTAAACAGAATAATAGTGATTCTGAAGCTAAAAGCGACGAAGAGGAGGATATATTAGACGAAGAGTTGGATGCCTTGTACTCCCAGTATCAAAAACGGAAGTCCGAGTCAGACGTAAAGTATCGTGCCAAGAAAGCAAGAAAAGAACACGAAGATCGCGATTGAGAAGGCTTTTCGGATCATGAAAAGAGCAGCGATGAGGACTTTGAACGAGACCAAAGCAGTAACGAATTCAAATTTTTGATTGTGGGATGATCATCACGCTAAAAGACGTGGGGCCGCGGCTATTAGAGCAGGGATCAGGCAGAGCCACATGATTGACCGCATCCACTCCAGTGTCATATCCTGTACATACAAAAGTCACACCTGAATACGCAGGAATCTTTCGTCTACAAAGGCTGAGAGAGGATGTCAGAGATCGAGAGATTCTGACTCCTCATCCTCCGCACCCACCTTTGCTTTATGGGACCTCGAAAACGGTCAAAGCCAAACCCCAAGGCAGAACCCGAACCTGCATCAGCAGAAGCGCCCTTACCCCAAGGGCCCGAATTACAAAGTAGAATTTCGCCCAAAGCTGCTGTTGAACAATCAAAACCATCAATTAAGCCTGAAGGTGTCGAGCCCATCCACTCCTCCGTCAATGGAGCGAATTCTGTAAGCGCATAGGATGGTCAGCTTGTCCGGAATGAGACTAATCTTCTATAGCCTCAGTCGAGCAAGACATGGTACGGCGGAACGTGGCCACGCGGGAAAAAGTCCAGCCCAGTCACCCAAGTAGCAAAAGAGAGTATTTCAGCTGCAGGCGGGGCCGCATCTGAGGCTCTAGCGTCAGCGCGGGCTCACACCCCAGAGCTTTCCACAACTCCTCTCAAATCTCCAGCACTCTACCTATCAAAAAGTATAGGAAGCTCCAGCAGGTCTTTGCCTCTAGCCGCCACTACTACTAAACTTCACATCACATCGAACGCTATAGGTCCTGCGAACGGCGCTGCCAAGGACAGGAGTTCATCCAAGAATGAAAGAGATCAGTTCACAGAGCATGAATCACGAAACGGCTCCAGTACGGCTCCAGAAGGTGAAAAGTCTGATGACGGTACCCCGGAAAATACTGCCAAAAACTGCGACACTCGACCAGAATCCAAGAGTCATGTGTCAGAGGTACCTAAAGCTGCCAACGAATCCACGAGCTGGTTGAATTGGTTCTCGAAGTCTGAAACCGTAACAGAGAATGAAACAAGTACTGCTCGGCGTGATGACGATGCCAGTAGCGCGGGTAAGAATACCCCCCAAAGTGTTATCTCAGATGTTCTTCAAGATGGTTCAGCATCCCCCAAACCACGTCGAAATTCAGAGCCGAGTCCTGTTTCTCCATCTGCACAGCAAGAAGAAGCCCCACGCTCTTGGCTCAGCTTATGGGGTAATGCATCCACACAGACAAAAAGCAGCTCATCGGCAAGCGCAATTGGCGTAGCTTCCAATCCACAACGCGACTCCTTCGGAACAGAACCGCAAACTGGAAAGGTGAGCGATGCGGGATCTTGTCCTATGTCCACCCCTCAAACTCCTCAGCAACCCACAGATGGTGCAAAACCATCGTATGGCTGGGCGTTTTGGTCCAGAGATCAGCCGAAGAGTGATGTCGAAAAGACACGTCCTGGAAGTGAAATTGGGGAATTGGCTCTTGCTGGGTCTTCATTGCAATCCAAGCCGGAGAATGCAGTAGTAGACGAAGCGGGAGGCGTTCCAAATAAGGTCAGCAAAAGACAGAGGCCGCAATCACTAGAAGTAGCTGCGGATACCAAGAAGCCTCGGGGCTCTGGAGATAATGCCAAATCAGATTCAAACCCCGAGGCTATCCCTTTGGATTCGAAAACAAAGCCCAAGGTCGATGCCGGTTCCAAATCAAAGGGCATGCCCGAGAATTTACTTCTTCCTTCATTTAAAACTACATACAGTACAGTGGGAAGACCAAGTCTGATCCAGCAGATCAGCAGGTTGTTGCAATTGAGATCGACTTTGGAACCAAAGCACGTCGACATTGTTCAAAACCCACCACGGGTTAGGAGAGCTTTAGCCATTGTAAGCTTGGCTCGTTCGTTGAGCGTGGGTCTCATTCACGTGGCTAATCTTCTTTCTTTAGGGTGTTCATGGCTATTTCCCGGCACCGTTGATTCGCTCCGTCCTTGGTCAACCAACAGGCACGTCTATTCGTTTTGCCAATAGTGCAGCCAGCGCCATTCAGAGATGGATCCAAAATCAGGGCTATTCATGTGAGATCGAAAAGGTAGCTCTAGAGGGAGAAGGCAAAATCGCAGAACGCATTGACCTATTGTGGAAGCTCATGCTCAATTGGATCGAAAAAATACGAAGAGCCGACTTTGTCATGATTGCATGTCACAGCCAAGGAGTGCCTGTAGCCATGATGCTGGTTGCAAAACTGATAGCATTCGGATGCGTTAATTCCGCAAAGATTGGCGTCTGTGCTATGGCAGGAGTCAATCTTGGCCCTTTCGCTGACTACAAGTCTCGATGGATAAGTGGCTCGGCTGGAGAGCTTTTCGATTTTGCACTTCCCAATAGTCAAGTGTCAAAGGACTATGAAGCAGCCCTGGACGTTGCCTTGAGGTTTGGGGTAAAAGTTGTCTATGTTGGCAGTATAGACGATCAGCTCGTTTCACTAGAGGTGGGCTTGTGTGTGGAGTATTTGGAGTCCAGCTAACATCTTCGTTTAGTCCTCTACATTCGGCTGCGTGAGCCACCCACATATCTTTCGGGCTGTCTTCGTAGACGGCCGACTCCACGCCCCTGACTTCCTTACCCACTTAGTGGGCTTCGCGTTGAAACTTCGTAATCTTGGCATATCAGATCATGGCGTGATCCGAGAGCTGAGCAGCCCACTTGCCGGTAGTCTCTACGGCGGTGAGGGACATTCCAGAATTTATGACGACGAAGCTGGTTATTATCTGGCTGTCGAGCATGCTCTTGAAACAACTTCCCTCGGTGAGATCTCTCCACAATTCCACCGCGACGGTGCAACCACGTCACAAAATCCGTACATTTTGCCGTTTGCTATGCGGGGTGTATTGGAAGAGGACTACGTGCGGACAGAGCTGTATGGAGAGATTACGGAGTTGATCAAACAGTTTGACGAGTGGAAACCATCTACTAAGGCGCTCAAAGATGTCAAATTTCGGTTGGAAGGCGTAAGGTCGAAGTTATAGATACGAGAATCCAAAAGGGACGGGGTTCTGTCTCAAGGCCCAGGGCGTAGAGGTTTCTATTGCATGGATTTGGTATCATACTTGCACTGAAGGTGTGCATGGTTACGGCATTCACATGTATAAATGCTGCGTTGGACGAATCCAAAGATGATGGCACTATCGAACAAACTCTTCGACTTCTTCTCCTCATTCAAACTCGATCCAAGCACGCTCCAAATAGACGAGCTATCGTTCTTTATGATTTGCTTACGTTACCTGCTCTGTCTCAAGTCTCTTGGCCAGCGCAATTACGAGATTATAGTCTGCAAGCATCGAACCAAGAAAGGCAAGCACTGTGCGTGGTTGCTAATTCATAGTATGAGTCATAAACCGGGTATATGATATAGGACCTCGGTGTGTATGTACATGCGGGATCTGTTCAATACGGGATGTCTCGTATCAGAATGGGTCTGCCATTAAGTCCTCCAATTTGGTGCACAATTAGAGATACTTTATCCCTGCTGCGTGAAAGACCTGCACCTTCTGCCGCCTATGCTCTTCATGGAAATTGCATGGCGAGCGCATATCATTTCGATCAGAAACCAGGACACATGAGACTAAGCGCGACTAGCACGCACAACCATCGCTCTCCCTGTCCAAGTGGATGTCGATAGGATCCGAGAAGTCACCACTGAACTCCTCCGATTCTTCTTGTGCCAAGGCGTTCCTGGCGATTACTGAAAGTACCTATGTCAGCACGAAGATAGACATAAACGAAAAGTTTGGGTGCACCATGCCTTCGAATGCCTGCTCAACGTTGACAGCCTCTTTGGCACTGGTCTCAAAGTATGGAATTCCGCCTTTCGACTGGCAGAACGTCATGGCTCGTTTCGAAGATATCATTCGCTTATTTTCTTCTACATCAATTTTATTTCCAAGGACAACCTGTGTCTTGTTAGGCAGCAGAACGCAGGACTGCTCGAGGTTGACCAACAAAAGGGAAGTTCTCGGGGTCTCGAGGGCTGGCCTGGATCAGAAATTCGTCTCTCCAACTGTCCAGAGTATCGAAACTCTTTGAGTTGTTGACGTCGTACACCAGGACGCAGCAATCGGCCCCTCTGTAAAATGCCACGCCTAGCGACTGGAACCGCTCTTGACCAGCGGTATCCCAAAGCTAGACAACAGTTAGCCCTTGATACAGCGTCAAGCAGCTTGTGCCCGCACCTGCATTGTGACTAATCGATCGTCCACCAAGACCTCTTTCGTCAGGAAGTCCGCCCCAATTGTTGCCTTGTAGCTTGCGCTGAATTTCTTGTTGACCTGATTTGAAGATGAATCTTAGCCGCCAAAGCTGCGCAGGAAGGCCATGCGTCCTGCTGTACATACATATTGGTTCATCAAACTAGTCTTCCCAACTCCACTATCGCCAAGGATAATCACCTAGTTGTGGCTGGATGTTAGTGATTGACCATTACCTTTGTACTGAGCGGTAGAGGTACCTTAAGCAGGACTTTCTTCCTCGAGGCCATGTTGATCGAATACTCTCAGACGATAAGATGAATGAAAACAACGATTAAACACGCCCGCCAAGCTAGAAGTTCTTGCTGAAGCCTCCTACTGCTGAGCAAAAGTAGAGCTGGGCTTTGCTTTTATTGTCTAAAAGTTCTCACAACTGGCTGAGACGGAGGTTATCAACAGCAGTCTTTAAGTGCGGTGTACTCGTGTTCCTCAGTAAAGCCGAAGGGTGACGATTTGGGCTGTTTCCGGAGAAGTTGACGCTAAAGAGCTGCGCCTGCTCGGCCATGTCACGGTAGCCAAACCGACTTAAATGTCGATCATCCTTCAGCCCTATCGAAATCGCATCATGTGCGCCCACAGCCATTTTTGCGTTCGATCGGTCATCTAATGTATCAGCACAATGGAGCTTCAAAGCAAATAGGAAACTTGTATCGAGCGTTCAGAATCCATCACGGAGACAGAAGTCTACCAACATGCAACAGATCAACTCTCAAAACACCATGTACATCTGAATATGCCATCCTGGCGGGATGACTACCTGAGTGCGCTGCATGAGAGGGACAAGAAGGAGAAGGCAAATGAAGCTGTATATAATAGCTGTTTGTTTTTTCGTCTAGAAGTCCATGTCGGAAGTTGACAAAGTGCATCAGACGCCAAATTGGCTGATCGAACAGCTACCCTTCAAGCCGCTCGGTCAGCAGAAGTTACTAGGTTACAAGAAGAGCTAAGATCGTCACCCAATCCCAAAGACCGCAAGATAAGCCGAGAGAAAGCGGTACTCGGTAGTCCCACCACTGGAGAAACAATCACCAAAGTGCGCCAGGACTTGAGTGAGGCTCAGCGTAGCAGGGGTTTGATGGAGGCCAAGCTCCAGAGCGTCACAGAGGAGTTGCAGAAGCTGAGAATACAATCGTCATTGGACAGCAAACGTATTGGCGAGCTTTCGAAGGAGAAAGCGATGTTGACTACGGGGATGAGGGACAGAGATGAGGAACTCAGGGGGAAGGCGAAATTGCTAGAGGTTTGAGTCAATGCGCTCTGTTCTTGTTGAGAGACGTGTTTGATTGATCAGCAGGACGTGCATGACGAGACCGTATCGTTAACGCTCCAGCTGAACATGGCCGAAGAGCATTCTCAGAAGTTGCGACATGAGAATAAGGAGTTGGTCGATCGGTGGATGGCACGAATGGGACAGGAAGCTGATGCTATGAACGATGGATCCAAATTTTCCTGACCAATGCACGCGTCTATGAAAAACCTCAATCGTGCCTTCGGAGAAAATGCCGCCATCCAATGCTCTTCGAATGCTCCTGGGTATCTCTCGAGCCGCTAAACTCCAAGTTTATGCAGTACCAAAAGCTTCGCTACTAGACCTTAGATAATACTGACCATACTCTCTGTTTGTGCTTGTGATAGGCTTTCCGTGCCCCATCCTGGAAAGTCGCTCACATGTTCTTTTCAGCAAAGGCCTGGACCTTAGAGCTGTCCTTTGTCGAAACATAGTAAGTGCCTGCAGTTTCAGTCCAGCTCACGCAGGCCGAGAAATAAGTCTTCTGGACGACTTCGAGTCTATTGCATGCAGCCGACAAATTTTTGGAAGTGATCTTATGCCCATGGGGAACGAAGGATTTGAGTGACACGATCTTGGCTCCCTCTTTAAGGTCTAGGAACAGATTTGTCAAGTCTTCGTTCAGGTTCGGAGTGAATGCCTGGTTGTTGACAAGGACTACATCTGCTTTCTGGAGAATCTTCAGGATCGCAGGATTCTTGAGAAAATCGCCTCGTTCAAGATGAATGTCACCCGCGGAAAGACCCCATAGCCGGCACCGAGCGTTGAATTCCTTCTCCTGAAGCTCGGCAAGATCACAAGCATTGTCCATCATCTCACAGCCCCAGCTCTCGCATCCAACCTCCAGAGCGGCTTGAAGTACGCAATTCCCGACTCCGGACCCGAGATCAACAAAGATCTGATCGGACATCATCTTGACGTCCTGTTTGAGAATTAGGGAGATGAATTTGGGAAGTAGCTCGCCGTACACATTATCCGTCCCGTTCTGGTAGTGGCGTAACGTGTGTACCCTAGGTGAAACTGTTCGTGAGTAGGTTTGTGTCAGGATTCGCTCGAGCAATTTTAGGTCGACAACTTTCCATTCGTCGATGGTCTTAGAAATAGTCCCGGTTTTCCTGAGATCAACCAAGGTGTCATTCCATTCCTGCACAAAGACCGTGTATTCGTTCCCGGCACGCCTCTCCGTGGCTCGCTTGAGTCGCCTAATCAGTCCCGTGCTGTCATTTTGCATTTTCGCTGCTTCATCGCTTGGAAGGTAGTTGCTGATGATGGTCTCCATGACTTCTCTAATGTCTTCCAAAGCCTTGAAATCATCATTAAGGATTGGCACAACCAACTCGTATCTGCGATGATTAGCTATATCCTCTTTTGACAATGTCGATGAAAGGCATACTTCTCGCTCTGAGAAGCAGACGGGTACTGCAAATGAATCTCGATAGCCTGCGGGTCATTCGGGAAGGCGGCTTTGTATTTCGTGGGCTTGCTCAGAGAAGCAACATCTACTGCATGGACCAGGGGAAACACCCCACCATCCTCCTCCGAGAAGGCCTTTCTGCTACGGATCCGCCGTTTTAGATCGGGCTCCACGTCACTAGTTCTCCGTGCTCGTTTTCTTGCATCCCCAAGATCATGATCAGATACGTCATCGTCACTATCAGATTCAAGACGTTGCGGGGTCGAAGCTGGGCGTTTCCGGGGGTTTTGGGCTCGAGACTTGGGAGATAGTTTGGCAGTCTGGCTATCCAACACCGTAGCCTTTTTATCTGGTAAAGAGCGTTTTTTGAGATGCTGTGGAAATGGAACGAATGTCTTTTTGGGGTTCAAAGCCGTCTTCACGATTTCCTGCTTGATGTGAACATTTTTGCCCTTGGCCGCCGTGAAGCCGGGCTTCTGAATGCTGTCAAAGAAGCCCATGGTCGCCAAGCTATACTTTGGGTATCAATAATGCATTGACTGAAAATGAGTGTGATTTTGGTAGCGAATGCAAAAAGCCAACAAGTCTAAATAATAGAGTGTGAATAGAGAAAGGTGGTGCTGACAAGAAGAGTTGCACAGCCATTCAGTAGATTCGCAAAAATTCGGCCCGTGAGTTTCGCCGATCTTAGCATATGCAGAAAGGTCCGCAGATCTTGGCACTGAGAACTCCCAAACCTCTCGGTCACCTGTTGCACGCCGCCTGAAGTATTGTAAAGAGTTATATAAGATTGCATACCAGCTCTGTTCAAGGCTCATGAGATCAAGTAAAGTTCGAGATCCTAGGATTGGTAATGAGTTGCCAACGTTCTTATAGACGTCTATATATTGAGCTTTTGACATTACAGTCTCAAAGAGATGTCAAGATGATTTAAAGACCATCGATTCACGTCATCTAAATTGCAGAGATGTGTTAGACTGAGTTTTGTGTGAAGCAAACAATCTGAATGATATTGATTTCAACTGATATTGTTCGAAGGTCTAAGTAGCAATCATGAGATTGAAGACAGAGATGGGGTTTCTTTCAGCGCGCGCCAAAACATGCGGACTTTTCTGCACACGCTAATCCCTCAAGCTCCCAGGCTTCCGCTCCGATCTTCCCTGACATTGCTTCCAATAGTCACAACATTACTTTATTGTCTCCTTTGACTCATCAATATACAATAATCACACGGCGTCTAGGATCTTTGGGAATTAGTCACTGGCTCCAGGTTCTCCCTTCGAAAGGAACCTGACCCAATCCAGAGGTACCCTACTGGGACCGCATGTGACAGACGAGCTTGTGACGTTACGGTCTTTGTTTTTCCCATGACCAGGGACCAGACAAAAGCCGTGGAAATCAGGTGGAAGGCTTAAGGACCCCGATGCATACCCGCAGCAGGCGACAATCATCTTGGAGAAGCCGGTAGTAGCTATGAGTCAACCTCTCGCTCCGGTCCCAGCAGACGATTTTGTTTTGCCTGTACCAAATTCGCGCTCGGAAGACTCGCAGGCAGGTAGAAGATCTACGGATTCCTCATGGTCACAGAGGTCTCGAATGTCGTCTCACAAAACACCTCCGCCGCACCAGAAACCGCTTCGTGGCGTTTGGCGGCATACAATTGGGATCATCCTGCTCCTGGCCACTGTAGTTTTATGGACAGCGTCAAATTTTCTAGCAAGTGTAGGTTTCGTCGAGATCGAATAGCTGGTAGCATACACTTACAACTTCACCTGCAGACAATCTTTGCAGATGATAGCTACTCCAAACCATACTTTGTCACTTATGTCAATTCATCCTTCTTCTCTCTCTTGCTGCTACTGGTTGCTGCAAAGAGGCTGTGGGCAACCGGCGGATCTATAAAGGGCGCTATTCGTGGACATGATCGGTCCACCCACTATTTGCCTATCGTTGAAGAGGAGGAGCAAGCCTTATCAAGCCTGACGATGACGGGAGGCATTCAAGAAGCAAGCCGGTCACCGCGTAGCCGGTTACTGATCGAAGAGCCATCGAAGAGCTCCGGAGTGGAAGGAAGTCCCTTCAGAAAGGCGTCTGAACGTTCGAGAAACTCTGAAATTGAGCTTTGAATTTTGCATATTATGGGTAGGAATCATCTCAATCGAAACGAAACACGGCTGATCTTCGTAGTTCCTAGTACGTGTATAACATTCAAAACAATCCTGGTTGTTCCTAACAGAAAAATCAGGCCAATTACTTCGTGGCAGCATGTCTCGAATATACTACCGTCGCTAGCTCAACCATATTGACATCAACGAGCAGTAAGATAGCGCCTCTCTCTCTCTCTCTCTCCGCTCGCAATCCTTGTGCACATGCTCACGTTGCAATAGGTGTCTGGACTCTGATTTTTGGTGCACTGCTCAGCGTAGAGGAGTTCACCATAAAGAAACTTGTTGGCGTACTCGCTTCTCTGGCCGGCATCATATTGATCTCTAGCATCGACATAACTGGTAACCAAGACAAGAACCGGGGATCTTTCCCCACAAGTCCCACAAAGAAATCGCCATTGGCGACGTCCTTGCTTTCACTAGCGCTGTCATGTATGGGATCTACACTACTCTCATGAAGAAAAGGATAGGGGACGAGTCAAGAGTGGACATGCCATTGTTTTTCGGCTTCGTTGGATTGTTCAACTTCATCACACTGTTACCGGGCTTCTTCATCCTTCATTTTACCGGCATCGAGACATTTGAATTGCCACCTACAAGGCGTATCCTCGCTATCGTATTGGTAAGTGACCCCTAGCACTGTTTAGGAAATGGCTGAGACAATAGATCAGATCAACTCAGCGACTTCTCTAGTTTCGGACCTCTGTTGGGCATATTCAATGTTGCTCACGTCACCTTTGGTAGTCACAGTTGGCCTCAGTCTGACCATACCACTGTCTTTGATTGGACAGATGATCGAATACTCACAGACATCAAGCGTATCTTACTGGATTGGGGCCTGTATCGTCCCCTTATCCTTCGTCTTCGTTAATCACGAAAGCACTCAAAATGAAGAAATGGGAAAGCCAGAGGAAGAAGACTCGCTTGGAAAGCCAAGTTCACTTCTACAGAGAACGTGGGGTAGAGTGAGGCCGCAAATGCAGTGAATTGAGTCTTTTTGATACGATTTATGAGCAAACGCCTGGTACACGCGCAGCATGGCATAGCGACGGGTAACCTGGGCAAGAGTTGAGCAGCTTACGCTAGATTTTGGGTATCATTAATCTTAGATTCCAGGCGCTAGGCGTGCCCGTCGAGCATCCATCCATATAAGCAGGCCATTGATTTTCAAATGCTCTGGGTACTCCAAGTTGTTATGCATCACTACTACTATTTCTTCTTCGTCTCTTTCTTCCCCCGTCGCTTCTGTCTGCCCCACCATTCATGTCTTCATTGCTACTCTTCCAATCCGAAAGCAGCTGCTCTACCTTTGGTCCCCACACGTCTTCTCCCTTTTCCAAGTCTTCATATTCTAGCACGTTCTTGCCTAGCTCGAAGTCGCCCTGCCTGGTACGCACTAGTTCGCACATGCAGGCTAGTGAGCCCACCAATTCACCGAGGTCATGACTGAGTGAACGAACGTAAAACCCCGATGTCACTGTCATGCGCAATTTGACTGCTGGTGGGCCTTCTATTGGTGGTGGCGAGCTCTGTTGTGCATGAGTATCGATCTGCTTTGGTGCTATGGTCAGGGTTTTGGAGGCCTCCTGACATGAGCCATTGAGACTCCCCTTCAGGTCCTAGCTCCGGGTTTTTATTGGGTACTACGCTATCACCGTCATCCAGTGAACGCTTCCTCTTGGTGCCTGTGCCTGCAGTTCCGTTCATGAATTGAACTTCACTAGCGTTTCCCAGACGTCGCAACAGCCTCTCCGAGATGCAATACCTTCTCGGCAAGATCCTTTGCCTCATCCTCCGCGTCTTCTTTGGGAAGACCGTGGTTGTGGCTCCCTCCCTCCCATCCAGTTCACGATCTCGAGTTCCTTCACTTCTACCGGCCGCCCCTTCGATTTCTTTCGGAACCTCTTTGCCTTCTCTGGCATACTCATAGAGTCTCTCTTCCCTTGCACTCTCAACGCCGAATAAATGGGCGGTCTCTGCATGATCTTTCCCCTGAACTTGCCCAACGCCTTCTCCACATTTTCTCTGCTTACGTGGCATACTCTGCCCTCTGAAGAATCTTACCTAGGGTATCGTATGTGTCTGTAGCGCCAAAGAGTATCGTAGCCTCATAAGTCTTGGTACATTCCGAGGAATCCTTGTAGCCGCTTCGTACCCTGACCTACACCCATGATGAGCACGCCGGTGGCCATAGGGTCGAGAGTGCCGCCATGGCCAATCTTGACTTGAACTCGTTTATCCTTCCGGCGATTGCGGTGAGTGCGCTCCTACGCAGATTTCAGAGTCAGCGTCACTCAAGAGTAAAGATTTCCTTTCGGTGACGGAACATAGGGTTTCACCTAAACAACAAGACAGTTGTGGAGAGGGAGTAAAGGGGCTTTCTACTCCTGAAACATGGCATGTGACCCCAAATTTTATACCAGACAGGAAGGAATTACGCGGGAATGTACGTACCTCGATTTCGCGATTGGAGCGCTCAGCAGCAAGCCAAGGGGCAAAGAGGGCGGAAGGGTTAAAACGATGCTGCAGGTTGCGGATTGTCTGGGCGGAGGAGATGGCAGCGGGCTTGTTTATTGCTAAACGGTCAATGGATGAGTAAGAAGGAAGAGATAAGAAAAGCGAAAGTCAAAGATGGAACGTCTTACCAAAGACACCTTCGACCACCTTACCCTTTGGTTTGGACATGATATTCTTGACGAGCGAGGTCGGACCGGGCATCCAAGTCGCTCGAGAGACTGCAATTAGGATTGGGGAAAATGACCAAGTTCCCACATCTGGTGTTGACTTTTGATGAAATAAATAGGTGAAATGATATATGATACACACAATTGAATAATAAGTACAAAATAGAATGAATAGAAAGCGCAGCAATATAGAATGAGATGGACTCGAGTATAATACCAGTCCTTCACTAAAGTACCTTACTTCACGACTTCACCGTCAACGGGCGTGCAGGGGCAGCTGCATCAATTACTTTGCTTTAAGCGATCATTGATTGTCGATCACGGATACCTATCATAAGCGAGATTGACGTTCAAAGACAAGCTGCCGCTTTGATATAGCCACCCCAGGGCATCGCGTCTTCCGTGCGTTTGAGGAACTCATAATCATTGACTTATGCGCTCCGTCACCACCGTCACCAGACCGAAAGGTGCTCTAAAACCTATGGCCATCCCAGAGGAGGACGTACTAAGCCGAAAGACCCTCTCTCCGCAATTCAGATGAGTGGCCAACTTTTTAATTTCAAGAAGATTTCCACGTCACCTCTTCCAAGACCGGAGAGCAGGCGAGTTTATTGTCAGCACAGCGGCCACCAGTCACAGTATCGGGGAAACTCGACAAGATCGACAGTGACTTACTTCCACGCAGGCGATGTGAAACCGGTCATGAATCTAAAGGAGAAACGACTGAACGCGTGAAATTAGTACGAGACAGGCGATACCACGAGAAAGCTATTGAGCTCGAAGAACGTCACAACGTACGTTCGCCGAATATGAAGATGGATCCTACGGTTTCTGGGCGGCAGGAAAGGCAGGCTGGTTTGAGATTCAAAGTCCATCATCCTCATACAAGGAGACGATATTCTTTTGATGAACGAGGCGGCATCCATGTTCTACATGCTCGCAGACAGTTGAGGAGAGCGATCAGGAAGCGTCCCAAAGCTTAATGCAAAAGAATTGGACAAGTACACTAGAGCGTTGTTCAAAGAGGTACCGAACCTTTGCCAATACCCGTCTCTCCCATGCGCAATTGCTAAAAGTATACGAGTACCTCGCGTCGGGAAAATCATTGCGCCTTTCTGACGCGGACGACGTTCGAGAGCTTTCCACGAGCATCGGGCATTTCTGATCACCTCGATGCTCGAATGTCAAGAGGGATTGGCTGGGCCCAAACGCCGATGCTGAATTATTATGAGTCGAAGTTTTCTGCAGGCTTGAAACGTACATAAATGGTTCACCATCTGACTTTACACAGGACGAGTAGTAAAATTGAAGGAGGGTCTTGGAACCAATAATGCTTTAAAAGCCGCCTCGTTAGAAAATAGAGACAATTCAAAGAAGAGAAAGTCACAATCGCCACACACAGAAGAACTCAAAGATAAGAAGATTACAAAGGCAGAGCAGCAGCAGCCTGGCGGAAAGTCACTGCCCGGAACACTTCCCTCAAAACAAGTCCTAGATTCAGCCTCTTCGACGAAGACGGTGCCTGCAATGTTCTCACCCGCAAGCACAAGTCAATTTTGCAACCAAGCGGAGGCAAGATCATATGAAAAAAGCTGCAGGTCGTCGAAAGAGTCTTTCGCGGTGGACGACCTGAGGAAGGTCCTCACGGAGAGG